ACTTTTCAAATTTGAGATTTGCATTTTAAATCAGCTTCTTTGATATCCGTTAATCCTTTAATATTAGGATCAACTGTAATTACAATTCTGTAATACGAAATAATAGTTAGCTTAATGAAAATGGATATGTTTAAATAAACTTTATATCGATATTATAATCTTACCTAGAAAAAATTCTCACTATACAGGAATGACATTGTAATACACACTGAAAAGCACATCGTTTTCCACTTTACCGCCATATTGATAATATGTTAATAACTGATGAATTCTCTTACAAGTAGAACTTAAACATCAATCTGTACCGAAAACGAAAAAGTTCCATTTACCATTGAAAGGTGTCACGAAATTCTTCTATATACGAATACAATTTAAGGTGCAAATGTTTTGATTAAAACAATGAAAATTTTTTATTTTCTTAATATTAAGGTACGTGTCACTAATCAAGATTATTACATAAAACTCAATATCGTCAGCACCATTAATCTCACAATTAAGTTACAATTGACATTTTCTTTATTTTCGATTATGGTACTTATATGGAGTAATCGTGATTACGTATCCTACATAGACATCCAAGTATACTTTTTGCTCTGTTTAGACATTTGGCAAGTCAATATGGCGTTCTCTCCACAGGTGAGAGACTACGATTTTCCGCGGTTGTTTTTACAGTTGTGAACCAGTGCTATTTCTAAAAGAGTTTATACAAGAATTTAAACGTTGTTTTAAAATTCTACCAATTGAATTATAAATATTAACGAGCTGTAAAACTAAGTTTACAATTTTACAAGTTCTTTTCAATATGTGGTATTATCAATGTGCTTGCAATTAGGTGCATAGTGACACAAATATTTATTCCATTTCGCGAACTTGTCATTACGTAATCATCAGATAGTGAATGTTTATGTAAATTCATATTTTCATAGATTGATTTGCGAAAAATGAAATTAGAGAGAAATTAATTTTTTCTGCTAAGAGGTTAAAAATAAAAAACAAAAATTTATACAATTAATGAAACTTTTATTTTATTGCGTTTGGTATAGTTGCGTCTACATAGTATGCGTAATTATAAATTATTTTTCAAACATAACGGCTTGCTTCGAGTAAGAAGTATATGAACTGTCATCTAAATTAGATTACTTGATCTTATAAGTTATGTTTAATATAAAAAAACCATATTGCATCAATCTTAATGTCATGTTTATGTTGGACAGATTCTTCAAAACAAATGTGAAGTAATGAAATGCTAGACCATTGGAAACAAACGAACATTTGAAAAAATAGTAAAAGGAAGATAAAAAAACTTGCATGTAAACAAAAGTAGAAGATGTTTGAATCTCCTAGAAGTCTGCGCGAGGTTTGCATTGATTTTATTTGTGACAATATTTTGAACTTGTGCGTACTATGCCCTGGTTCATTGGAGACGCCTACTTGCAGTAAGTATTATCAACTATTTATTCTTTTTATATCTTATTTGTAAAATGAATATAATTAAATTCAATTATTTAAAGTTATTTATTGGAAGGTCTCTAATATAATAATGTTTAATTACTATATATATATATATATATATATATATATATATATATATATATATATATATATATATGTATAATTCTTAGGTCAACAAGTCAAATCCTCAGTAAGCGATAGTAGTACACATATTTTGGGTAGTACGGCTAGTTTACCTAGAGCATCCAGTGATGCATCATCAAGTTCGGCAACAAGACTTAGTTTTAAGCACCCAGATGTTTTTATACCCGATGAAATCTCAGAACAACTATTATCCAACCTCTGTGAAAAGAAAACATTATCTGATTTGACCATTACACTCTTTGATTCAAAGTCCACTAGATTAAGGTAAATTATACACTAATTATTAAATTGATAGATCGAATAATTATTATGAGAAATAATGTGAAAAAGATATTTATCATTTTAAATGTTCCTCGTAGATGTGTACAATTAAAAGATGCATCTGCATTGTCAGCAAAGGGTTTAAAAGTTTTAAAACAACATAAAGTTCAAGAACTGGTGGTTAATGGATTAAAAATAACAGTTAATGATCTGATAAGTTGTTTAGGTGACTGGAGTTTACAAAATCTTAGGTCGTTAAGTATAGCAAAAGGAAGTTTTATGGATTGTTCACGGTACTTTATATGCTACTTCCAAACTCACACTAAATAAAATATTTATTGTAATGTATAATATAATATTATTAATGGGTCTATTTATATATCATGATAGGTACTGTGTGGCAGTAACACTAAGCAAATTAAAATCACTGAATTCATTAAACGTATCTGGAACAGAGTTTAATAAACATGGATTGGAAATAGTGGTCGACGACCTTCCTCTTTTAGAAAATTTAGACATCTCGTGTACAAAAGTCAATGACATAACACCATTGAAGAAATGTAAAAATCGATTAAAAACTCTTTATATGTATAACTTGAAGATAAAGGAAAGTGCAAATTTAATCTCAGTATTATTGGAATTAAATGAATTAAGGAATTTAGACATTTCCGATGAAAAAGATATGCATTCGGTCATATCTGTGTTGCCTGCACATCCTGCAAAACCAAAAGTAACAGACTTCTTAAAAACAACACATTGTATGCCACACTTAATCAATTTAGACTTGTCTGGTAGGTATTATATGACTATTATATTTATCTATTATGAATAACTATGTATTTCTTTTTTATATTTATTATAGGCAAAAGTGATATAGATTTAAAAGATTTGAAAGAATTTATTAAAGCTCATCCACATTTGAGGTTTTTGGGACTTGTTAGTACAGATGCTTGCTATGACTATAGTTTAATAAATTCAGCATACAATGACTATAGACCTGGACTAGTTGTAAGTTACAATGATATTATCATTATAGTGTTCTGAGTTCATGCTTTTAAATAATAATTGAACATTTACATTATATTTATACATTGTGAAAACTTCTCTATTATTAATAAGATAAACTGTAATTTACCTTTTGTTGTAGGTTAGCGGTACAGCGACAGAATCCCAAATTTTGGAAGCTCTCAGAAGGTATACATGCAGACCACTTTATCTTGAGAAATGTTTTCTTAATTTATTCCGTTTAGCTCATACTTTTCTTGAACCACGAGTTGACGTAATAAAGTTGGTATTATCCGGTATGAAAGAACATCCACACGAAGTTCGTGTGCAATTAGCATGTACCGCGTGTCTTTATAATCTTTCAAAAGGTGAATTTGCTATTATGATTCATCCATCGATACTTAAACAAGTTGTTGAATTAACATTGGTTGCAATGGAATCTTATCCAACCAATTATCAACTGTACATGAATACGTTACTGATATTATGTAGCGACAGAATTCTACAGGATGTTGCTTTTGATAAATACAGGTACGAACGTTACAGAAGTTTACTAAATTTTCAAATTCCAATGAAAAATGTGACAAACTTGAGACAAATATTATAAGTGACCTTGGTTTAGTGTATTTACTAGGCATTGGAATTTTAATGCATATCGAACTAATAACACTTAATTTAATTGCTTCTTTTTATTATAGATGTGCAAAATTAGTGATGAATTCCCTGTTAACTTTTAATGAACCGTTAATGATTCGCATGTCTGTTGCTATTTCCTCGATCTTGGCAGCAAAGATAACACCAGTAGAAACGTCTATGCTTGGTGCTCAACCTCAATATATGTCTAAATTACTTTCAATAGTTAGATCTAAAGTTGAATCTAAATCAGTAGATATAACGATGAAATTTACATTAAGTGCACTCTGGAATTTAACTGATGAAAGTGCTACAACATGTACAGTTTTCCTAGCGGAAGGTGGAATGGAGTTGTTTCTTGAAATGCTTGAAAATTTTCAAGGAGAGTCTAGTGTTGAGACTAAAGTACTGGGTTTGATAAATAATATAGCAGAGGTTTGTACTGCAATTTATTTCTTATAGAATAAGAAAAAAACGAAACAATATATAATGTAATTTTATTGTAGATTAATTATTTGAGACCCAGGCTTATGGAACATAAATTCATTTCTATGCTTTCTATTCTCCTGGTGTCTACACACATTGACGTGTCTTACTTCGCAGCAGGCATTACTGCACATCTGCTTAGCGATGGTCCAAGTGTATGGTGTACAAAGAATTTACATCAAAGCAGAGCACAATTATTACAGCAATTAGCTCACACTGTGACACACTGGCGAACACCTCAAGGAGAAATGGTTGCTTATAGAAGCTTTCAACCGTTCTTCCCACTTTTACATTGTTCAGATGCTCCAGTTCGACTTTGGGCAGTTTGGGCAATACAACATGTCATTACAAAAAATCGTAAGTATCTACATTTGAATAATAATTATTATTTGCTACAAATGTTACAAATAATGTGATTTTTTTATAACTAAAACAGCATATGAGTATCAACTTATATTTAAATTTTTATTACTTGTAGCAAAACATTACTGCAGCATGTTAATCAGAGAAGAAGGTGTAGAAATATTAAAGAATCTAAAAACCTCAAATACACACATACAAAACTTACGACGTTCAATCCTTGAAATGATTGAATTAAATTCTTAACGATGACTATTGCCTTCCAAAACAAAATTTGCGTACCATGGAGTTGGTATACTAGTCAATGTTTATATCTGTGCACTCTTATATCCTGTTCTTTAGACCAAATAATTAAAACTCTTATATGATCATGGACATCTATCAAAAGTGGACTAAAATGAAATAAGTCCAGGATATTACTATCAAATTCTGTAGACTTAAATTGAGGACCTGAATTATTGAAAATAGTTCTGTGTATTATGAAGTGTAATGAAGTATATTATACATAGATCTTATGCGTAGAAGTACATTTGAATGTATAGTAT